GGCGGGACCGCTTCAAGGTGCTCATCTTCCAGGTGAGAGGCCCTGCGGCCACCCAGTGTCCCCCCCGGCCACCGCGCCCTGCATCCCCCCGCACCTTCCTCCCGAACCTGGGGGGAAGAGCCCGTTTCTGCTAACTCCTAGCAACACCGGGGAAAGAGCAGACTTGCTACTAACTCTTAGCAAACTTGGGGAAAGAGTCTGCTAACTCCTAGCAACACCGGGGAAAGAAAAATGCCCACTTTTACTCTTAGCAAACTTGGGGAAAGAGCCTGTTTTGCTAACTCCCTGCAAACCTGGGGAAAGAGCTGTCTTTTTTGCTAACTCTTAGCAAAGACGGCGAAAGAGCCCTTTCTTCGCTAACTTTTAGCAAACTGTGGGGAAGGAGCCCTCTTTTACGCTTGGCAAATTGGGAGAAAGAGCTGTCTTTTACTAACTCTTAAGCAAGCCTGAGGAAAGAGACCTTTTTTTGCTAACTCTCAGCAAAAAAGGGGAAAGAGCCACCTTTTATTCTCAGCAAACTTGGGGAAAGAGCCACCTTTTACTAACTCTTCGCATACGTGGGCTTATTACTCAAGCCAAGCACATAGAGGGGGTTTTGGTTGTTGGTTGTGGGGTTTTTTTTTTAAGCAAACTTGTAGAAAGGGCCCTTTTTTTTTAGTAAACTCTTGGCAAACTTGAGAAAAGAGCCCATTTTGCTAACTTGTAGCAGTGCCCCTAAAAACCGCCCTTGCATCTGCCCTCAGAAGCAGGAGAGCAGCAGCGCTGCAGCTCCCTGTCGCACTCAGCCTCACGCCCCGCTTCGCACCTCAGGCTGTTCTGGCCCATTCAGGGATGAGCTAAAAATTCAGCTAAAAACTCAGCTTCCTGGGAGTCCATCCAGTGATAGCAGCAGTTCGCATATTTTCCCCTTTTTAAGCAATGGTCTGGACAGAACACGGCGTGAGCTTTAACTAAACACAGGACGTGACTTTTACATCTTTTTAAAAAAAAAAAAAAAAGAAAAAAAAAAAGAAAAAGAAAAACCCCAGACAGACCTCCACAACTCACTGGGGGAAGGAAAGAGAGCGAGCACGGGGCTGGAGCAGCCACAGGTCGGGCACATCACCAGCTCCTCAGGCTAAACTTGTCGGCTGCACGTTACGTCTGTCAGTAGCTAACTCCAATCCTTGGGTTGTTGGGGTTTTTTCTATTTAAACAAACCCAAAACAACAGAGCAGAACTTGCTTTTAAAAGCTGGCAGGCCTGGTTAGTGCACAGGCGCTTCCCCCAGAAAGGAAGCCCCCACCTCCCTGCTTATTGTTCTCCCAAATTACCGTCCGGGCTTGTCAAGCCAGAAGAGGAGGAGCTGCGGCATGTACCGAGCATGGTGGTTTCCACCTTAGAAGGAATGTGGAAATTATTCCAGGGACTGGGTAAATTAAAAGACACATGTTCTCTAGACTTCTCCAAGGAATTTAAGATCCGTTGCTGTAAGTCAAAACATTGCCATCTCCCAGGCCGTGTTGGCTAACGCCTGCCTCCTGTCTCCAGGCTCAGACCTAGACCTTGAACGCTTCCCGTGGGGAGGGGGCACCAGCTCGGCCTGTGGGAAGGTAATTTTGTGGCATTTCTGCTACCTGCGAGCGTGAGAATTAAGGCCTTGCTATTGCAACTACAGCATCTTCCTCCAGAGAACCCAAATTTTAGCATTTTAAGATGACATAGTGTGTAGAGGAAAGACAGAAACACAGCTGTGTGTGGGCAGTTAGGGTTGCCTCAGCCAGGGATCCCCACTACTGCTGCCTAGAGGCAGTGATCTGCAGGCACTGGGTAAAAGGACTGGTAAAACTCGCCAAGAAGGGTTTGAAGGGTAAAGCAGCGTCCCAAGAGGGGAGGGTTGGTTGGCTTGTTCCCCGACACTAAATAGTATTGCAAAGCTAAGGCCTATTTAAACCTCCGAGCCTTTCCTTAATACTAGGTCCTAAAGTGCACAAACCTAAACCAAATAACACGGGTCCATGTCCCAGAACAACAGCTAAAGAAAATCCACTGCTGCTCCACCGCCTGTCACGGGGGTGGTGCCTTTGGACAGGACGTCTGTTCTTCATTGCTTTTACAAGGATTTAGTTGACTGTGTTCCCGTCTCTCACTGGAAAATATGTTGTCATGGCGGGGGGGGG